GGGGGGGGTCGGGGAGGATGGAGGTGGTTGGAGCCGCTCACCTGACTGACGCACTGTTTGCCTGATGGTGTCTGACTGGTTCCTGCTGGCAGCTGATTGGGTGCTGAAGGTGTCGGATCGGGAGGTGGTGGTTGTTGACATTTCTGCGGCGAATTTCTCTCCGGATTTGGTGACGGCGGTGATGGGCTGGTGAGCGAGACCCACAGCCACTGGTTGGTGTTCCTGTGAAGAGGCAGTGTGGCCTGCTCTCGGCTCCTTCACTGTTTAAGGGAGGGCCGGGGGGCACAGGAAAACACAATGCCATGAGAATCAGCTCAAACTGTGCAGAGAAAGATCCCAAACCTTAGTGCACAGTCACCCCCATGTCCCCAAAGGGCAATTAAATTTTACATTTGGCAACAAGAAAGACAGGGCTCATATAAATAAAAACTAAATGGTTTTAAGGAGGGTGAGCAGAACAAGAAGCAGGGATTAGTCCAAAAGGGATTCTGTTTTTCTAACAGAGGAAGTCACAGTGAATCTCTGCAAGAATCTGATTCAATCCAGAATTCCGTGTCTAATTCTGAGAGGCTGGGAGCTGGAGTTGATCTCCTTAGGGTGGAAGTGTACAGGTTAAGTTTAAATGAAGTTAACAATAAAGAGGGTTTGAGATGGAATAAATTCTCTGGCAGCAGGGACAGTAACCAGAGGAGACATAGTTTAAAATAGCAAACTGGGAACTGCACTCTGCTGCCTGAAGGGGCAAAAGCAACAAAACACGTTAAGAATGGATTTGATAAGTTATTTGAAGGGGAAAATTGTCGGGTTATGAACAACAAGCAGAGGGAGTGATGATCTGGGCGGCTCCTTAAAAGTTCAGACGAGGCACAGTGGGCTGAATGGTCTCCTCCTGTGTGGGCTGATAGTCCAAGGACTAGAATGGGAGAGTTCCACATCTTATTTCCAACACCATCTGCACCAGTAACTTCCATTCTTCACACTCACTACCTGCAGCTCGAGAACTCTTCAAATCAGTCCGACACCAAGATTCCAATTACACACAGTGGGTCCCCCCCCCAACAGACATACAACAGCGCGGCGCTCCCTCAGCACTGACCCTCCGACAGTGCGGCGCTCCCTCAGCGCTGACCCTCCGACAGTGCGGCGCTCCCTCAGCACTGACCCTCCAACAGTGCAGCCCTCCCTCAGCACTGACCCTCCGACAGTGCAGCCCTCCCTCAGCACTGACCCTCCGACAGTGCGGCCCTCCCTCAGCACTGACCCTCCGACAGTGCGGCACTCCCTCAGCACTGACCGTCCGACAGTGCGGCGCTCCCTCAGCACTGACCCTCTGACAGTGCGGCCCTCCCTCAGCACTGACCCTCCGACAGTGCAGCGTTCCCTCCGTACTGTATCTGGGAATGTCAACCTGGATTCAGTTCAGATGCCTCTGGAATGGGAGATGAAGCCAGACCCTGGTGTCTGCGTTTCCGGAATGTTCTCATGGAGCCCTGTGCTATAGCAAGAGGTGAGGGGAAGGTGAAAGCGGTGAGTTTACTGGTCAGTGTGTGATCGCTGACTTTGACAAACTATTCCTCTGACAGATGGAGAATCAGAAATGGGTGATGGTCCAAAAAACTGTTCTCCAGAATCCACAAACTACAAGCTTCACAAGTGAAGAAAGCAGTCAGTCAAAGATAGGGATAACAGGGTGTAGAGCTGGATGAACACAGCAGGCCAAGCAGCATCAGAGGAGCAGGAAAGCTGACGTTTCGGGTCTAGACCCTTCTTCAGAAAAAGTCAAAGATAGGGTCCTTGCCTCTAGTGGGTTGCACCTTGTTCATTTCCACGTTGGCTTTAGTTAAAGTATCAGGGTCTGTCCCATTCTGTTCTCGAGTCTCCTCATTCGACTAAAGTAGACAAGGAGAGAAAGGGAAATTAATTAAACTCAGAAACCCAGGGAGTCAATCTCGGCCCATCTCCTCGGCAGCACTGAAGCAGGAATCTGTCCCCCCCTCACACAGCGGGGTGATGAGGAAATTGTGACCGAGAACAAAGTTGTGTATCTGGGCTCTGCCTTTGTATTGTCCTTGCCTCACTCCATCGCTCAGGAAAGCCAATGGGGATCTGGGATCATTCAGCTCAATCAGAATCAAATCAACTGAGATCTGCCCTGGGTTCGGAAAAGCCCAGATCCCTCAAACAGCAAGATGGAAATGTAGCTGAATGGAATTAAACCCTGAGAAGGTGAAAGAGATAACCTTACCTGAAGACAAGAAACGGCATAATATTCCAGATCAGGAAAGAATACAAATCAGTGAGAGTTCAAGGATGGTCTTCAGTGGCCAGGACCTGGGTAAACAGAAACCAATTCCAATACCCAGGGTCTGTTCTGGCGCCACCTTGACTAACCCTAAACTGAGACAGGGAGAGGGTGGGGAGCAGGGGAGGGGGCAGCTGGGTGGACGATGGGCTGACATTTTTAAGCGAGGGGGTTTGGGCAGGGGTTGAGGTGGTGAGAGTGGGTGGCGTCTGGGCAGCGGTTGTTAGTGCAGGTCCAGGGTGAGGGGTGAGGGTGGATGGCGGTTTGGGGTAGAGAGGGGAGGGTGATGTGAATGGGTAAGGTGAGGTGGAAATGGAAGGTGGGAGGTGGGATAGCCAGGGCAGGGTGGGTGGGAGGTGGGTTAGGGGGAGGGGAGAGGGGGGGTGGAGAGGTTTGGTGGAGGGTGATAGAGACGCCGGTGTGGGTATAGGGTGGGTAGAGGGAGGTGGAGAGAGGCTGGGGTAGGGGG